ACGGAAATAGCAAAATGTTGAAATATGTTGTCCACTAAAAAGAGATTTTTGTTTTTAATGTGAAAAACTGAATAAAATTTGTTAAAAAAAAGAGACAGAAGGATCTTGATAGACTTGAACATTCAGCGCTATCTAACAAAATGAAATTCAGTGGTGAAAAAAGTAAGGTTCTACATTTAGGCAAGAAGAACAAAATGCATAGGTACAGTATACGTGGTACCTTGCTCAACTGACTGTGAGAGGAATCTTGGACTCCTAGTGGACAATCACTTAAATATGAGCCAGCAGTGTGCTGCAGCTGCCAAAAAAGCCAACACATTTGTAGGCTGCATAAACAGAGGGATAGAATCAAGATCATGTGAAGTGTTAATACCACTTTATAATGCCTTGATAAAGCCACACTTGGAATACTGCATCCAATTTTGGTCGCCACAGTGTAAAAGATGTTGAGACTCTAGAAAGAGTACAGAGAAGAACAACAAAGGTGATTAGGGGGCTGGAGGCTGAAACATATAAAGAATGGTTGCTGGAACTGAATATGTCTAGTCTTATAAAAAGAAGGATTAGGGGTGACATGATACCAGTGTTCCGATATCTCAGAGGCTGCCACAAAGAAGAAGGAGTCACACTATTCTCCAAAGCACCTGTAGGTAGAACAAGAAGCAATGGGTGGAAACTAATCAAGGAGAGAAGCAACTTAGAACTAAGGAGAAATTTACTGACAGTTATAACAATTAATCAGTGGAACAACTTGCCTCCAGAAGTTGTAAATGCTCCAACTCTGGAAGTTTTTAAGAGATTAGCTAACCATTTGTCTGAAGTGATGTAGGGTTTCCTGCCTAAGCAGAGGGTTGGACTAGAAGACCTCCAAGGTCCTTTACAACTCTGTTATTGTATTCTGTTCTTCTAAAAGCCAATTATTCAGAATTTTATTTCTATTATTTGTACTTTAGGTGCTACTCTATCTGATGGCTTTTCTATCTGATGACTTTACAAACTCATGTGATGTTTGTAATTGTTTGAATCAGTGTTTCTCAACCTTAGCAACTTTAAGAGGACTTCAACTCCCAGAATTCCCCAGCTAGCATGAAAAACACTGGTTTTCATAAATGCTGGTTAATTATAGCACTGCAAGGCAATTGAGAGTTCAGACTCAAACATTTTTGTGTGCATACGTAAAGGTGAAGTAGATGCTCTGCTTGGCTAGAACCGCTGTAACAAAAGACACACCCATCCACACCTCATTCCAGTCTTCCTTGTCCGACTGGTCTATGCAGTTTGATAAAGTTTCAAGTACTCTTTGATATCCCAAACCACACATAACTGCTACTATACTTTTATAGAAAAATTAGTGTAATCCGATCTACCACAATCATAATGTAGTTATTTGCTAACTTTTTAGAAAAGTATCTTCACTTTGAATGGATGTATGGTGGCAAAGGACTTCATTATAAGTCCTTTGCCACTGTATTTCCATTAAAAGTGAAGTCCCAGCACCCTCATCCCACTTCCTTTTCAAGCAGGCCCTGAGATATTCTCATCCTTGCTATCCCAATACTGTACCATTTTAAAGCTTATACAGAGGAAAGATTTTATATTAGAGTAATTATTGAAGGAAACATGGGATATACAACAAGGCAATGCTTAAGAACTTTCCTACCTGCTCACACAATTTTCAAATGCAAGCTTTTCCTTCTTCCTGACCCCCAGATTATCTCTAGAGGTTGGCTTGTCATCCCTGTGTTCTACCTTTGATTCCCCACCCCTCTTTTATATATAAGGTGTTTTTCAGTTTCTTTTTTTCCTGCTGAATATAAAACAAAGGCAATCAATAACATTCCAAAACTGATTTAGAACTTTTTAAGGCAAAGAAAAGAACATGGGCAGAGCCTACATTGAGCTCAATCTTTCCTACAAAGCCTGCAGGTTTCACTGTCCTGTTAGCCCCTCCTGAGTGTACATAGCTACTCTTAAATACATAGCTACTGTTAAATACATAGCTACTCTTAAATAGCCGAGAAAATCAGGACACAGGAAGTCAAGAATGGATGAAAACCAAATTAACGTAGACTGGATGTAAACATGTATGAACAATACAAAGGAAACCTGTTGAGGAGGTTTAGTCATATTCAGAGACTGAATCCAGAAAACTAGGAACAAGCAGAGTGTGAGTTCTAGTCCTACCTGGAGCATGAAATCCACCTGGGTGACTTTGAGCAGGGACTGTCTCTTAACTCAAGCTCACTCACAGGGTTGTTGTATGGGGTAAATGGGAGAGGAGGCGCGCATTAAGTATGTTTGCATACTTGAACACACACACACACACACACACAGAGGAATGGGAATAATGAGAAAATTGTTTTATGATATTGGGGAGATCCTGAAAAAAATCAGTGAGATATTTCAAGAACAAGAAGTTTCATACAAATCTGAAGGGATATGATAAAAGCAAAGATGGTTTGGAAAGAAAAAGAGCAGGGAGTTAGAGAATGGCATTGATGTGAACAAAGTTTAGTTATGTATTCTTTTCTTATCTCACTTTTTTTTGCCTACCAGCTCTCTTCTGAGCTCTGCAGAATGTTTTTTGTGCTTTGCGTAATGCAGCTCTCAAATGTAGTAACTTGATGGATCTGCCTGAATGAACACTACATTAGTGATTACTGAATTATATTTTATTGATATTCTCTTCAATGGAATTTAATTTCTTTAATTTCTTTGTCTAAGGAATTTGCGATTGTTGAACTCCATATGTGCTCTGGTATGTATGTTTAAATATAATATTTAATATGCCAGTTTCTCTTGGGAGACTTCCTGCAGAGCAACCTATAGAATAAATAATAGGGATCTGTTGGAAGGGTATGCAATTTTGGGGGGCAGCTGTGTATTATTTTATATTAAAGGGGTTTACGAAGCTGTGCATTCCAAAATAAGCCCCTTCTGAGAGAGATGGATAGTTAAATAAAAGGTGGGTCAGAGAAAAGCTATATTTTAATTATAGTTAAATGCCTTAGTACACACACAAGTAATCATCATATGCTTACATTATATGATAGGTTTGCATCCAAAACATTACGGAATGCACATATTATGAATCTTAGATCTAGGTTAAAGAAAGCTTTGGAAACAATTCTGCTATTTGAATTTATAAATAGTAGCATAAATTTCCTTACTGCTCTATTCATTCCCAAATCCTCAAAAGCCGGGCATTTCTGCTTGGGAATTCTGTACTTGAAATATGATTTAGAAAATGAAAACGGTGAAAGAATGGATGTGCCTGCTGTCTGAGTGCTATTTGTAGCATATTTATAGCATTATTAGCCTTGACATCTTCTGACTTGAAATGCTAAGAACTAGCATGAAAACTCCCAAATTTTCCTGATTGGCTTTTTCTGCAGCAATAAACTCCCCTCAGTTTCACTTCAAATAAGGGAGAAGTATAGCGCAAGCAGTAAAATTCCTTCCAAACCTGGTGTTTTCCATACATCCTCAACCGATTCTAAAGAGATACAAAACAAGAAAAACAAGATAAATTCACTCTAAGTTCTTTTTGCTTGTACTACTGAGGGGAGCTGTATGGAAATAAATGTTCTTTTCAGTAGGAAAGAAGCATTACTTCTTAAAACAAACAAATAAAAATGTGTGTAGCACTATTAATACCAGAAATAAATCACCACAGCTATTTGGTGGCACTGCTGGTGTGGAAACACAACTCGCTGCATTGTGAATAGAACTGAGTGTGTTCCGCTGTTTCCTACACAGCCATTGAATTTCTAATTTCACTACAGATAATCCAACCTCTTAGAACTGCATGGAAACACACACTCTCATTCATACTGTCTATTAATTTTAGATAACATTTCCAATAATTCCTATATTTTCCTATGGATAGCATAATTACTGACAGTAGAGGTAGTCCTCGACTTACAATCATTCATTTAAAGACTGTTTGAAGTTACAATGGCACTGAAAAAAATTGATTTATGACCGGTTTTCACACTTACTACCATTGCAGCATCCTCATGGTCAAGTGATCAAAATTAGGATACTTGGCAATGGCATGTATTTATGATGGTTGCAGTCAGGGGTGGGTTTCTTCAGGGGTTCTGTCCACCTCTGTAGAACCGGTAGCTCTGAAGACCAGCAGACATAGAACCTGTTCTATGTCTGCTGATGTTTTTGCCCACCCGCCCACCTGAGCTCTTACTTGATCTTTATTTCCTGATTTTTCAACTTCAGCTACAAAGGAGCCACAGCTGCAGTTAAAAAAACAAGAAAAGAGGGCAGGGATGCTGGTAAATACCGAACCGGTAGTTAACCCTTTTGTATCCCACCTCTGGTTGCAGTGTCCTGAGATTCTGAGAAGCAAAATCAATGGGGAAGCCAGATTCACTTAACAACTGTGTTACTACCATAACACCTGCAGTGATTCATTTAACAACTGTGGAAGAAACCTCATAAAATGGGGCAAATTTTACCTAACAACTGTCTTGCTTAACAACAGAAATTTTGGGCTCAAGCAAAACCTCAAATTCAAACAATATTTCAAATTATTAGATCTTTACCCAGACACCCTGAATAGTTTTGTCTTGTATCTGCAAGGGAAAAAAGGATTCAGGATTTATACCTATCTCAGATTAATCTAATTGTGTGTATGGACATTTGATGGTGTGAGGATTTAGCGAAAGGCATCTTGATGAAGGGAGGAGCCAATGTATAAATCTGGAATTTCATAATTTTAGGTTCGTGCTTCCCATTCAACAGAGGCACAATGGAGGGATAACCTGGAGAGAGTTTGATGTGATGTTGCCAGATCTAATTGTGAATCTTCCTTTCTTGAATGCTCGGGATCCCCATTCCCATTCAAGCCCTAAAAATGGATCAGGCCAAATGTCCCTTGGCCCAGTGTTTCCACAAAGGTCAGAGTAGGATGTCCAGGTGGTCGTGGTATAGTTTCCTTAAGCTTTCTGAACATGGAGACTCTATTGAGTGGCCGTAAAGGGCAGCCCCTAACTAACAACCTCCGCAGAATCGCGAGGCGGCCGCAGGGTGACTCTTCCCGGGCCTCCGTTCGCACCCAGCCGACTTCTGCCGTCCCCGGTGTGACCGATGACTAAGAGCAACGCACTGCGCGGAGATGATCATGGGCGGAGAAGGGACAGGTCTGAGCAGAGTCCGACGGTGCTGCTGGGCGGGAGAGGAAGGAGGCGCCCCCCGGGGGTAGGAGGGGAGCGGGGAACCGCCAGAGAACCCGAGCGGGGAACGGCGCAGCTCAGCCTCCCCGCCCAGGCACCGGGCCGGGAGCCGCACTAGCTCGAAGGCTCGGCCGCGCCGCCTTCCGTTGGCTCGCCCGGGAGGCGCGCCCAGTCCGGGCTGCTCTCTCCTCTGCATCCATGCCGCTTTCCCAGGCAGAGGCTCCCTGAGCCGGGCTCCCTCTTTTCTTCCTTTCCGATGTCGGGCCCCCGCAGCGCCTTGCAGGCCTGGTGCCGCCGCCAATGCGAGGGTTACCCGGGTGTGGAGATCCGAGACCTCAGCAGCTCCTTCCGGGATGGCCTGGCCTTTTGCGCCATCCTCCATAGGAACCGGCCTGATTTGCTGTGAGTACCGGGCGACCGCCTCTCGTTCCCCACCCCTTACTCTCCACATACTGGACGTGCGGGACTAGGCCCAGCAACCTCGAGCTCGGCTCGACCACCAGCCGCTCGAGGAGGAGCTTCTCTCCAGCTCCCGAGTGGGGGAACCAGCGCCTTCCTCCTGGGAATTTTGAAGAGGGAGAAAAGATGGGCTACTGGCTAGAAACCCTCGCTGGAGAGAGGCGCCCCCTCCCAGAGACGGACATGAAGTCGTCTTAAACTAGTACTTAGAGCCTTAGAGAGACCCCCACCCAGCTGTTCATAACCCTCATAGCAAAGGCACCAACTTGCACTCTTTTACTCCATAGCAACTGATCCCCAACAAGGACTGTTTCCAACTATGTAATCAGTAGTGCAGTGCAACTGAAAATTCATTGTGTAAAAAGAGCCTTGTGTGTCTGACATGGGATCTACTCCCTGTAATTCAGACATTGCCTGAAATAGGGTGAATATTCAGTTGTGAATCGTGTAAAACAAGTGTATAAAACTGGTTCCTGATTTTTGGGGCTGAAAATTTGATGAACCCCTTAATAAATATACCCCTTAAATATGAATCCCTTGATTTCCTTTCTGCTCCAAATCAAACGATAACCAATCAAAGTTCACATTTTAATAATTGTAATCTTGCTTCTCTACAGTAATGAAATGGATGTGCCCGCTTTCATGACAAAAATTTTATGAAGCTGAGTTTTATGCTTCTCAGATTTAGCTAAAAGTCAGTTTCAGTCTTCCTCCTTGTTCCTCATCTCTGAGATGGTTTGTTCAAGAAATGGAAATGTCATCCTACTATAGAGTGATATTTTTAACATCACACTCTTTTAGTTCAAGCTGATTGAAAACCTGGCCTGTGTCAAAATAGCCCAGCCTTCAACACAAGAAAAAACAAGTGTAAGACTATTTGTTTATCACATTTCTACACCACCCATCTCGTCTAAGTGACTTTCTAAAGCTTTTATGAACCAGACCATAATCAGGGAATACTGTTTGAAGCTCTGTGAAATACCTTTTTGTAGTGTCAGCTCTATGATTCTAACAGACATAGCCAAATAATATATGAGAAGAGTATTAGAACCTATTCTTTTTGACTATGAAAACATATGAAATCTTACTTTATGGTTGTACTTTCCTTTTCAGAACTTTTCTCAAATGAAAATTTCCACCCTGCTTTGCTTGATGCTTTTTAGTCTTTTTTGATGTTGCATGGATATATGGATGGGCCATTAGTTTAATTTTCTTATCCTAAAAGAGCTTTCCAGTTTGGAGATAGATATTGGAGTTCTGGTAATAATCATGAATTAGAAACTCAGTTTTAATATTCAACTATTTCATCTAAGCCAAACAATAAAAGGTTTGGTAATATTTTTATTTATTACAGTAAACACTTTATTTATTAAAATATAGGCTTCTGCACATTTTGTCAGAAGGTGCCTCTAGGCAGCTTACAACCAGTAAAACATCAGTATGAAGCATGAAACATTAAGACAATAAATAGTCATATAATGTTTTATTAAAAATGACAAAGATAAGGAAGAGAGCCAAGTGCACATTGAAGGAGGTGGGGTCTTATCTCAGTCTATTAACCACCTCCTGAATGACCCCCCCACACTTTTGTAAATCATTTCACAATTGTAAATACATCCACAAACATTACCTTTTTAACAGTTGTCATGAAATAGTTGGCAGTACATGATTGGATTTGTTTTTTTTACAGAATTTCTAGTTAGTGCAAATTCAGATGTTTTCAGAAAAGGAATAGATAAATGTTCACTGTCTTAAAAACAGTATAAAATTAGTATGTCCCATCCCTGATATTTAACAGAATTATAGTTTTCAAATGTATTCTTGCCGGCAAATAGTAATGCTTCTCTTTTGTAATGTTATCTTGCAAACTTATGTTGCCATAGTCAAACTACTTTGTTGTCCATGTTGTTTCAGACATGTTTGAAAAAAAAACACTGATCTAGCAAAATATGATCCTGTATGTGTCTTATATTTATTTCTGTGTTATATAATGGAGAGGGAGTTAAATGTGCTTATTTACTAGATTTTTAAACCCCTGCAATTGTATGAGTCAATTTATAGAAAATAAATGTTCTACAATAACAATAGGATAATAATTATTACAAATATAACCATAAGCAATATCTAACATTTAACATTTAAACTGGAATAATATATAAACAATTCTTACAGTTCATTCCAATTAGTTAAAACCCCTCCAGAAGACCTCTGTTTTAATGTATTGCTTTTTCTAATCAGAATAAGTGCTTGGGTGGAATGTGCAGGAAGGTGGGGGCAGGAAGGTCTCCATCCGAAGACGCTTTCATTTTTAGCTCTGGGTAAGCCTGAGCTGCTTTCAAACAATAGGTGTTAATAAATTAACTTATTTATTCTCACGAGACCAGTAAACCAACTTAATGAGGTGAGTTTATGCAAAGAATCAAACTAAATAAATGAATTAAGTTTAAAACTAACCAACTTTGCACATAGTGCAAATGGCAGGTCTTTAGCTGGCGGTTAAGTATATTATGTAAATACATTTACTGAGTCTGATCCAATTTAACTCTGGGGAAAAATATTGCAAATAATTATTTGGGGGATATTTGTCTATCCTACATATCTGTTAATACTTCTTCTTCCGTCTGCCTATCCCATTATAATGCTATGGTACAATTACAGAATTATAATTGGAAAGCACAGTAGAAATCACCAAATTCAAGCTCTTGTTTAGCGCTGTTCTCTTACAACTGGATAACTTTTTAAAATATGACAAATTAGTAGCAGAAAAACTAAAAGACTGTTATTACCATCATCCTCATCTCATTTCTATGCCATCAGTTATCTCGATAAGGTTTATAATTATAATTGGCCATGAGAATTAAGAATAGAAATGTCTTTAGTAAATTTATGATCTATATGGAAGTACTGTGTTAGCAACCTTTTTTATCTTGGTGCCTTCCAGATACAGTTAAAATTCTTGAATTATTGAAGTATAATACCTGGAGAACATCAGATTGAGGAAAGCTAGATTATTTGTTTTTATCCCACCTTTATTATTTTTATAAATAAGGCAGAGAACAAAGAGATACTTCTTCCTTCTTCCTCCTGCTATTTTCTGTACAACAACAGTTCTGTGAGGTGAGTTAGGTTGAGAGAGAGTTACTGACCCAAAGTAGGCTGCTGGCTTTCATGCCTAGTGGCAGGAGAACAACTGAAAGTCCCATGGCTTCCAGCCTGGTGCCTTAACCACTAGACCACATTAGTTCTCTATTAGATCATAAATTATATAAATTAGGTATGATATTGATGATTGACTGATAAAGATACTTGGTGATAGTCATTCAATAGTTTTTAAATGAATATGACGGCGTTGAGGGTCTATGAAGCAGCTGTCCAATAAGCACAAGGCGTTTGAAGCAAGTTGTTCCAAAGAGATGAATTCAGCTCAGAGCCAATTAAGCACAAGGTACTGCTCTGAAATATCTCAGCTATGAATTTCTGCTCTTGCAAATGGTCTAAGTAAGCACTTCTTAGTTAACGGTAGTGAACTGCATTGCCAACTTGACAGATAGAGCCTTACAAGGACATGCATGGCATGTTAAGAAATAAGTTTCCAAGGAACAACTGAAGGGAATGTTGAATCATTTTAACTGCTTCAGCATGTCTTGACTTGGAAGCTAGAGGATCAAAGGATAGAAAGAAATGGTCAAAAATCACTCCATTGGTAGATCAAAAGAAATCCTGTTTTTACCTAAGCTTTATGTTATCAGAGCCCTTGGTGAACTGGTTGGCATTTTATGACATAATACAAAATGTCATAAAGGATTTCCTGTAGTCAGCTGCTGATATTTGATTGTGCTATATATAGTTCAACATGGGCTGTTTCAAGGCAGATACATCTCTGAATATCTTCCTGAATTCTTAGGAACTTTTCTAGTATATTAGAAGCTCTGCCTTTGTTGAAGACATTGAAGAATGTGGCAAGGAAATATCTCTGAAACAATGACCTACCAGGTCATGAGCTGTCTAATTATGTTTTAAAGCACTGAGCTCAGAATACTGTTTTCCAATGAGAAGCCTAAATTCCTGTTGGTAATTAAAAAAACCCAAAACATTTTAAAAATGAGTTGTAACAGTTTAGGAATGAGGCTTGATAGGTTGGATCCCTCCTAACCTCTTCAAAATGGTTGTCCAAAAAGACTTATGCCAAATGGGTTGCAGCGATGGATAATATGATACCAGATGAGGGGTCCCTCCAGTTGGATGGCATTCAATATGCTATTGAGGAAGAGCTGAGGATTTTTTTACAGTACTGTTGGAAGTTACGATTCCCCTCTCTTCTAGGAAAACATTAGAAGGGGAAGGAAAATTCCCCTAAAAGAAAGGAGAGGTGAAAACACAAGCAGGGACAGCTCCATTAGCTCCCACCTTTGCATGGGACACATTAGCTAGGATCCTTTCCCATAGAAATCAAATAGATAGCAAACAGCATAACAGGAAACTCAGGATATTGCAACCAGGTGCAAACTGATAGCTACAAAGGATCAGGGAAAAACAGATTGGACTATAAAACAATTACTCCTACCAAAATCCCAGGAAGAGACCCCAATTTCAGAGAGACAGGAATTCAACACACACAAATCAAAGACTTCACTTACAAATCAAAGAACCTGAAGTGTATAAGAGAGAGGTTTTCCTACTCACTTATTAGATTAATCCTAGGAACGCTGTGAGATTTCTTCTTATCTGCCTTCCTATTAATAAACTGATTTTGATTTTCAATGTAGCTGACCAAATCATTTTGCATTAAAACCTCCAAGCTGGTAAATTTGAATCCACAAAAGGAAAGAACTTTGCCTTTTTCCTTAAAGGGCAAGGCTTCTTTTTTCCTTTCCTCAGTACTATAGTATCTGTGATGCAGCTGCATTAGAGTCAATAGGGCATCTTGTTCCTAATGTTGCTCT